TTGATTGAGGCATTGGTAGTCTTCCAAATCACTTTAAAAATGTAAATATATCAATAAAATTCAATAGGTTCAATTGAGACCTATACATATATATATTGGAGCTGTGCAAAGCTTCAGTCCCTGACTCTATTCGGCAGAGATTCAGCCCAATTTGGTGGCCAAATCCCTGAATCTGAATCAAATCAGAGGACCCTTTAATCTCTCCAAATCGAATCGGAACCCTCCAAATCAATTCAGAGAGATTTGGAAAGATTCAGAGATTTGGATGTAGGCACAGCTTTAATTGTTTTTTCTACATACCTCTAGGTACCAGGCAGCTCGTGAATGCTGCGATGCTGGGGCGGATAGAGCATCCCCAGCATGCTCAGCAGCAGACCCAAAAGTGGACGAGAAGCACTTCTGGTCTACTTCCGGGTCTGCCAGGGAACGCTCTAGGGGACCCCCCCGCACCTTCCCAGCTTGGCGACTGCTGCCTCCTGGGTCTCGGCGGGGGGGCGCACCCTGGGTCCCTCTGCAGCCAATCATCAAGCTGGGGAAGGCACGGGGGGGGCTCCGTCGCGCTCCCTGGCAGACCCAGAAGTGGACCAGAAGTACTTCAAGTCCACTTCCTGCTTTGCCACTGAGCACATGAAGGGCTGCCCCACATTCCTGTGGGACACTCCATGAGCCCCAGCATCGTAGTGTTCATAAGCCATGCTGGTACCTTGAGGTACGTAGAAAAAACATTTAAAGCTGTGTCTATGTCCAAATTGCTGATTCTGCAAATCAGCATTGAATCTTCAGGTTCGGATTTGACCGAATCAAATCAGGGACAGTGATCCAAATCAACAAATCGAATCACTGTCCCTGATTCAGGTGGACTACAAATTGAATAGGACCTGCTTTTCACACCACTAATATATGGTGTCATTATTATATTATTGCCACCATATTATTATATTATCATTAATAATACAGTGACATTTCATCTTGATCATGGGTTTTAGAGTCTTTAATCTGAAAACTTGTAATTTTTCGTCAGAGAATTTGTGATTTTTAAGCAGAAAACTAGGATCCCTGGTGATGACCATAAACTGCATCCAACAGGAAGGCTAAGTAACAACATGGTAGGGCTACTTGTGCCAGGGTATCTCCTATAAAATATCACAATGTTGCCATCTCCAGAGTAAAGCGAGTATAGGGTGCCTCAAAACCCCAGCCCCCACTGCCCTGTGTGCGCTCCTTGGCTGAAGAAGGGCTAAGGGCCATCACCCTGATACAAACATAGCTCCCTGAGGTGTTAGACAGTAAGCAGCAGCTCTAATCTGTTGCTCTGTGGCAGAATTATAGAAAAGCTACAACTACAGAATCGTAGAAGCTACAACCTTTAAGACAATGAACGTCTGGACTCAGTCTGCCCAGATGGCAGGTGTAGGGCAGCCTCTACTTCTCCATTCTCTTGCCTAGGCATACGCCCTAAAGGTCTTGGTATGATGGTCGCATAGACCTCTTACACATACACCATGATCCAAAGGAGTGATAGTTGCCAAGTATACACTGCCCTTATGGCAGAGAGAATATTGCAGTGAGATGTGCTTTACACATTCTGTGTCCACTACCTCCTCAATCAGCTTGTTGGTATGTGCCTGGTACTGTCCTTAGCTATCTATACTATTTCAAATTGAGGAAGAAGTAGGTACATCATTCTCACTGCAACACTCCCTATTGTTGCATTGGGGCAGTGTATACATGCCCCGAGATAAGCATCTAAAATCCTTTGTCACTTTTGAAAACATAGGCTTAACTTATCCCTTCCACTCACGTGAATCTATTTTAATGCAATGCCCTTAAAGAGCAATGTCACAAAAGAATAAAAACATGGAGGGAAGAAGTCAGTCAAAAACAAGTGCAAAAAGGAATATTTCATAGTTTCATAGTTTCTAGGGTCAGAAGGGACCTGAGCAGATCATCAAGTCCGACCCCCTGCCATGGCAGGAAAGAGTACTGGGGTCAAACAACCCCAGCAAGGTGTTCATCTAACCTCCTCTTAAAGACCCCCAGGGTAGGAGCCTGCACCACTTCTCTTGGAAGTTGGTTCCAGATCCTAGCCACCCTGACCGTGAAGTAGCGCCTCCTGATGTCTAGCCTGAATCTACCCTCTGCCAGCTTGTGACCGTCATTTCTAGTAGTGCCCAGGGGAACAGGGACCCCCCCAATGCCTGCAGGTCCCCCTGATTAGTTTGGAAATGGCCACTAGATCCCCACTCAGCCTTCTCTTGTGGAGGCTGAACAGGGTCCACCTAATATCACAGAGTGTTGATCTCTGGGGTTGACAGCTTAATTTTTAAAAGGAGCAATTTTACTTTCTTTATGTATCCAGTATTCCCACTGAAATGAGTGAGAGTTTGGGTAAGCAAGAAATGAAAAGTCAATTCTTAGAGTCAGGTTCTTGAGCAGGAACAAGCTAGTGTGGACTTTCTCCTGACTTTCCATACCCTTTTACTGAAACCCTAAGAGTGGAATTAATCGGATCTCTTGGACAGTAGATAGGAGACTTAAAAAAGGAGACTTAAAAGCTTGGCCAGTCGTGCTCCTGACATTAGGCTGACAGAAATATTTTCTATCCAAGAAATTTTAATCACTGGGTTTTGCAAGGTGCTAAGCACTCTTCAAGCAAGGAAGAGAGCTCTCATAACTTACAGAAGGCACCTGGGGCCTAATCCAGCATCGGTGAAGTCGATAAGATGTTTGTCATCAGCTTCTGTGTAGTTACTTAGAATAGCAGGAAATTGGACTCAATGACCACGAAGTCCCCTGTAAACCTCTGCCTGCGTCCCACCACTACTTACCCTCAGTCGTGGCTCTGTCTTCAGGTAAGTGTGTGTTCTCTTCTAGGTTGGCGGACCTCCTCCGGCGGGCTTTAAACTAGGCTCGTTGGGGGAAGGGGTATATGAGGGCGGAGGAAGCATCAGGCTGCCAGATCAAACAGCACGCACAACTACAGCCCAGCCCATCGAGCGAAGCGAATGAACAGGTAAGAGATAGGGGCCAGGGTAATGCTGAGACTAGGGGGTCAGTACATGCACCCACAGGAGGCCTCAAATGCCTCTACACAAATGCTTGTAGTATGGGTAACAAGCAGGAGGAACTCACCCTCCTGCTGGCTGACACTAGCCCGGACATAGTGGGGATTACGGAAACGTGGTGGGACTCATCACATGATTGGGCAGTGAATGTCACGGGCTATAGGCTGTACAGGAGGGACAGGATAGGAAAGAGAGGTGGGGGTGTGGCACTCTATATTAAGGAGGAATACACATCCTCGTCCATTGGCAAGGAGTCAGGGGAGGGGCACTCTGAAGTGCTTTGGGTTAGAGTGAAAGGCTGT